GCCAGGTATCTATCATTAAACCTCTAAAGAAAAGTCGTGATTTTTAACAGCTGCCTATTTAAAACCGGTGGTTTGTTTAACAGGAGTTTTTAAAGGTTCAACTGTTAATTTTAGAATTTTTATTTCAAGAATACCTCCATAAAATTAACTTTTTCAACGCAGAACATTTTAATGCCTTCCGTGTTGGTGCTCATTTGCAAGAAATCTATGCATAATTATTTCTTATGTACCAGTTAAATCTATCAGCCAACAGATGTCAAGTGTAGCAAAAATGCTATAATAATATTATGGTCTAATAATAGTTATAATGATTCTAATTACCTAGCACAGCTTTTGAGAGAGGCAGACTCAGAAATTTGTGCAAATGAAATGTTTAACCTTGAACTGCAGAAGTGTAAAATGTGCACTTTTGTAGATATTTTGGCTGCCCCCCTCTTCCATGTTAGACATCCCGTTCTCTTTGTTTCCTCAAACAAACCAGGAGTAACAGTGTGGTCCATTTTAAATGTTGAACTCATTCTCAGTATGTTCAGAACAGTGGCAGAACAGTGCTGGCAAACTGTAGGTGAGCAGGTTTCTTCAAATACCTGTAAATGTGAAGCCTGGTCATTTTTTTTAAACTCCTACTGTGATAGTAACCACTTTGGTTTGGAGGTGCTCTCACTGCCTGATGATTGCAGTGCACACAGACTGCTTTCACCTTGGGAAGGCTACAGAAGGCTCAGCAATTTTTATCTTTTATGCACGTCAGTTGGGCTTCTTTTAGGTGTCAGCCTTGGACAAAGCCTGAGAAGCACAAAGCCAGGGCACCTCTGCAGTAGTGCTACCGTGTAGGTCTCGTGCTGTCTGCTGATAGAGAAGCGTGTGTGTGAGGTGCAGGTGAGCGGACGTTAATGCTCAGGAGTGAGCTTGTGGAATGGGAAGTGAGCAGGGACTGTTAGCAGATAGGAGCGCACTGTGTCGCTGGGTGCCACCGCACGTGTTCCTGGGCGCAAGGTTTTTGCACTTGCTTTGCCTTCGATAACAGAAACCGCTGCCAGCCCTGGTGGGGTCTCTTCCCCAGTGCAGGAAGGATGCTTTGTGTGTCACCTCTCTTTATGCAACTCCCCATGCATCTCTACCACCCTATTTTTCCTTCAGGAAGGATCTTTGGGCTGCATTTCATATATTCTGGTGGTTTTTGCCCAGCCTTGCTTTGTGCTGGATAGCGTCTTGGGGCCCTGTGCTCATTATTGTTGTAAGGCTGATGAGGCAATGCATAATGGGTCACCCCTTGCCACAGCTGTTCATTTTAATTTTCCGACTGTAAAGTTTTGGAGAAGTCCATGATTCACAGAGAAGGATTCTTTTCGCAGAGGGCGTGCAGGATAAGCTAGAAGTTGAGAGCTTTCCGTAATTATATACCAGACTGGACCTTTTTTCCTCTGAGAGATTTAGCTTGCTGGTAGGAACTCAGCAGGAGCCAGGGGAATTCAGTTGTTGGTTGCTGATCCCTGGCATGGGCAGCAGCTGTGAATCTTTTACCCTCTCCCTGCAAGATGGATCTGGAGGGGCCCTCACAAACTCCTCTTCTTCATTTCAGGCCCATGCTTCTGGCTGGCATGCTCTTTTTCTTGTGAAAGCCCTGTCTGCCGTTACCACGTACTTCCTCAGCACACCGCAGCCTGCCTTTCTCCTGGGTTAACTCTGGTGAGAGCTCTGCTATCTTCTTCAGGTTTTTATGTGGGAAGGCTTGCTTTCTTGCTCAAGTTGAGATCTCTGTAGGCTCCTTCTGACTGCGAGCCAGTTTATCACCATGGAGATAGGGCCTTAGGAACTGCAGGGCACAGCTTTTTCCAGACGTGTTAAGAAGGACACTGTAACGGGTTACCCTTGTTTAGGGAGAATGATTTCTGTGACTGAACAGATAATATGCCAAAGGATGCTTGGCGTTGCCCCAGGTGCTATTAAGGAGGAGACAGATCTTGAATCTCTTCAGGCCTGAGCTATAAGGCTCATGTAATATTCACTTGCTTTTTAACATGCTTCTTTGCTGGGCTTACTGTTAGGTGTGACTGTTGTGACCCAGACTGGCTCATTGTTAACCTGTTTGCGCTTTTACTTACCCTGAGAAACTAAAGCTCCCTTTGCTTTTCTGCTCTGTGTAAATATTGGTACTGTATTTCTCATGCTGCCACAAGAGCACCTTTCTGCATCCTTTTTCTCAGTCTGTCGAGAGCACTGTGTTCTCCACTCGTCTGAATCGGTTGCAAGCATTCCATTGCCTAGGGCTGTTGCGGCTTTGGCCTGGTTCCCAGAGGACACTAAGGTTACGTACTTGTGTTGACTTCCTCTGTCTCTCGCTCCCTGCTCCCTCCCAGTGCTTTTTGTACACCGACCGACTTCAGCTCTCCGAGGAGTTCTCAGAGATGCTGGGTTCCTACAAATTTGATGGACGGAAGAGTGTTTTTGTGTACGGGTCCATTTGTTAAGCTCGTTTGCGCTGCATCTTCACTATCTCTAGTTACATGTATTCTGCAGTTGGTCTTGTGTTGGTCTTCTGCTGTTTGCATGCATATTTGCCATTCTAACTTCACTACGTGGGAAGCACGTTAATAGTGCTGGAGGAACAAATCCTCCCCTTTGCACTGCTTACATTGTCATCGTTCTCTTACCTCTCTGACTTCCTGCTCCTTGTGGCTCTAGTGCTGGACTTCCATGCGTGCAGAGAAGCACAGGCATGTCCCGGGCCTCGACAGGCTGGACCAGTGCATGCCAAACCCTGTATTAACTCATGCTGACCTCCTCTGGGGTTCGGGGATGCTGCTCTTTGTCCTTGTCTGGCACTGGCGTACTCTGTGTCTTCCCGTAGTTTCTGGGTTAGGAGAACCTTCTTGACAACAACTTAGTCTGGAAAGGCCATCCCGTGCCTCTCTGCCTCACTGGCTCCGTGTCTGTAAACATGTCTTTGCCCTTGCTAAACACCATGTCTCTTAAATAATACTCTTGAAGAGAGAAATTAATTTGTAAGTGTTTCAGGACGTTATTTGAAAAATAGGATATGAAGCTGTATTTCATTTACTGTAATGATCTGCTAATGCGGGCATATTTCAAAGGAAGGCTAAGCAGTACTGTGGGTTTTAATTAAATTTTGTTTTTCAAATAGGCTTCAATAGATAGACAATAACAAATAGTGGACAATATGCATACAGAACAAATTCACTCCATTTTCTTTTCCAAGACAACGTAAAAGTGAAAATGGATAGCCCTTAAAATGTGTTTGGCCAGTTCATGATAGCTATTTTAGTGCTGTTACTCACTTTTGGGGAGGCTATTTCTTACTCTAACTTAATTAATTTTCTTGATCTCTTCCTGCCCACAAAATACACTGTTGCATTATGCAAAATTTCCAGGGGGAGCCTTGAAGAATTAGATTCTACTGGAAGTTCTGAGCTTCAAAGGTCCAGGGTTTTGAATATTGTCTTGTTGCTTAACGCACTGCAGCTCGTGGAGATGGATTCCTGGCAAGGTTTCAAAACTGAAGAACTGCTTATGAGGTAGCCTGCTCATTTCTTCGGTGGGAAGGCTACATGATTGGAAATACCTGTATCTGGAGGGTGGGTTAGGCGTATGCCATCCCTCATGTAGGTAGATTGCAGGGAGGTGAAAGTAATATTGTTGTGTTGCCCTCAAATTAGGGATAAGCAAGTGGTCGTTATCTTCCCTTTTCTTACAGCAAGCTTGGGGTTGACAAGTACAAAGTGCATACAGAGATGCTTGAAAAGTTTGTTCTACGTCAGTGGGAGGTCTTTGGAAATCATAATGGTGCTCCCAAAGGTGAGCTTTTTACAAGTTTTATGGGGCTAAAGAGTTCTTTGCTAAGCATTGTAAATGAGTTCCTTTGTTTAGGGGTTTGCAGAGCTTCGCTGTAGGGGCAGAGCGAGATTGTTGTCTGGAGCTTTCTTTGAGTGGAAGCTCATTTTCTGGTAGCTAGCGTCGTTTTTGTTCTCTTAGTTTGGGCAATTTTCCACTGTTCAAAAACAATCAGAATTTGTTGAGAGAATCAGTGTGGATGCCCTAGAGGTCTTCAGTTCTGTGACTATTTGATTTCTCTTTGAAATACATTTAAGTCAAAGATCTGAAAAAAAAAAAATTAAAAATGAAGTGGGTAATAAATTTGTTAGCGGCTTTAAAAGACTTCTGAAGCCTCACAGGGGAGTGGTAAGCAGTGGATAGAGCCTTCTGTCCTCTGTTCAGAGATGTGAGTTTGAGCCTAATTCTGGATTTATGCCCAAAGCTTTGCCTACTTAACCTGGCTGCAGATGGTTCCCCGGCCATCTGGGCTGGGGAAGTGCAGTGGCTGGATGAGAGTGATAGCTGTACCCTATCTTCCTGTGGTGCTGGCTCGGGGTAACGGCTGGCTGACCTAGAGTAGGTTGCAGTCCAAAGAACTATTTGACCTTGCACAACCTGATTTCCACCAGAGAAAGATCTGTGAGGACCTGGCTTTTGACTTGCATTTTTGTGGCTGTAAATGCTTGTAAAGCATCACTGTAAACGATAGAGACTTGTGTCTGCTACCTCCTCCTCCACGAGGACTCAGTCTAACACTTTCTGCGCTATGGTGACGCTGTGTGTTTTGCCATGAATACTTTACCATTCTCTTGGTACGTGTACCTGCTGATTGTGTTTTGTGCACTGGCCGAGATAGGAAACAGCAATGCTGTCCAAGTAAGGATGGTGAGATGGCGTCCTATGTTTGACGCCAGTCCCTGTGGCTGGAGAGAAATCCTGGTGCAGACGTTACTGTGTCTAAATATAACTTGTCATGAGGCATCAGTTGCTCTTTAAATAAATTCTGAAAAAAAAAATGCTGCTGAGGGCTGAGGTTTGTGCAGGTGGCTACCAATACAGAGGGGAATGCTCTGTGCCTTCCTTCTTCTTTCCTTGTTCTTTGCTTGAGGGTGTTTTTTCCTTTTCTCACTTCTTGTTTTTATGTAGTGTCATTCAAGGTTGTGCTGGGTTTTGGGGCAGGCAGTTGCTTTTTGATGACTTCAGGCAGCGTTTCCTATTTCTCTCATCCTTCCTTTAGATCTCTTACCTTTTTTCCGGTGCACTGTCACTTTGAAATCATCTAACCCTTTGTTGGTTTAGAAAGCCTCTAAGCATCCAAGAGCCTCGGGTCTTTTGTAGACAAACTTTTCTGGGGCTGTTGTTCATCCTCTACAGAAAGAGAGGTTTTTGGGGCTGCCACTGATCTCAGACGGCTAGTAGAAGTTGAAGGACTCTGGCTACTGGAACATCTGGAGCTGACAGATGAGTCCTGGGCTGAGGGATTTGCCTTCTGTGATGACCAATAAGTGCTGAAGTCTGATCTTTGCCTGAGCAGGTGAGTATTTGGTCTCTCCTAGCTTCTGGAAAGGCTGCAGTAGCCAAGCTCTGGAAGCGCAGGTTGGTTGCGAAGTCCTGAAGTCTTGAAAGGGGAGCCTGTGAATTCTGAGCGCTGCTCGCTTCTAGGTAGCGGTGAACTTCTGACAGCGTGGTATCAACAGAGAATAGGGGCTTCCTGCAGAAGCTGGAAAGGTTAAAATACCCGTGATGGCTGTATTCAGTCAAAAAGGGGAATGAAGCAACAATGACAAGCCTTGTTTAAAAAAGCTAACAGGGGTGGCTTGGAGAGCTGCGGTAGTGGTGGTGTGGAAATAACTGAAAGGCTTGTGGAAAGCACTGTGCCGGGTTCTGGGTGAACTCATGGACAAAGCAGCTGAACTGGGAATGGCAGCATAACCTCTCACTTAACTTCTTCAGTACCTGTGACTGGAATGTAGCAAATGGGATGAGGGTCTTCAAAAATACTCCAGGCGGGATCCAGGGAACTGCAGGCAAATAGTACTAGGGAAGAGTAGAATTAACAGGTGTCTGCATGAGAATGCAGTTCACGTGGGGTCTCAAAGTCACTCCTTTGAAAAGGAGTCCTGGCCTTCAAACATCTTGGGGGAGGGGCCTCAGGAGGAGGTCAGGATGTCGATCAAGGAGATCTGGCTCATACAGTCTCCTTGGACTTTCAGAATCTTTCTATGCTTTTCTTTGAGGGCTGGCAGCGGAAAATACATTTGACCTATCTTGGCAGAGAAGGTGTTTGCTGAAGGTCAGTGCTAGCCAGCATGACTGAATTACGCAGATATGCTCAGAGCATGTTTGGGGCTCATTCTCCCACCCAGCATGGATAGCAAAGAGATGAAGCAACTTGCCTAGTGGCAGAGCAGTGCTTGGAAGTCCAAGACCTGGGCTTTAATGGATGAGGCTCTTCCCTCCGCTTTAAACCTCGGTGCTGCTGTCCCCTTTCTGGAAAGGATTAGATTTTTGTCCTGGAGTTGTTTGTGGCAGTGCTTCTGCTGCCTGGAGCTGGTTGCAAAATGGGCATGTGAGATTGTAGCAGGAATTTACAAAGAATCTTGTGGGACCACGCAGGGAGCAGGGAACTTGTAAGGGGCTTCAACACAAGTGCTGAAACGACAGGAGAACTGGGTATGGGAAACTCTGATAATGCTCAGGAATGAACCAGAAAAGGGTTCTAGTACTGTGGTTTTTTAAATTTGTTTATTTTTAAATAAGTAATTCATTTTTAGTGAATTTGTTTTTAGTGTGACTCTTTCAAGCTTTAATATGTGCTAATTTACTCTGTTTCTTATTATTTCTCTCTTGATTGTATTTATACTAGCAAAGCAGCATCTTTTATTTATTTATTTTTTTTTCCCCTTGGTTTATTTTGCTCATGGAGTTGGTATATGCAATACTGATGAAGGAACCTTGGGCTTTTCTGAGCTGTCTGCTTGCAGGGTTGCTGCCCAGGCAGTCCTGGTTGCGCTTATGCTGCTTTGATGGGCAATGCCTCCTTAAATCAAACCGGCTGGGTGCTACGCCTATCTTGTATGGGACACAGCATTTGGTGTTGACCTTCTCTGAGTGGTAAAGTAGGCAGGATTGCACTTTCCAAGTTCCCTTTTGGCCAATAAAGTGGAGCAGAAAAGCCCCAGAAAATGTTTCAGGTCTAGATTTTGGCTTTGTAATTGCTGTGTTCATTGGCACTTCTGGCAGAAACCCGTCTCAAATGCCGTGCTGGAGTACGTTCAGCGTCTCAGCAGGGAACGTGCCGCCACCACCTCGTCAGGGTGTTGGTGTAGCTTGCTAGACCCTGCTGTGACCGCAGTGAGAGCGTGTAAAGACAGGAGAGAGGAAAACAGATCCTGACTAGGAAGAAAATAAGGATGAGAGAGGAGGGCAGAGGAGATAGAATGAAGTGAGGAAGAACACAAGGCCGTCTGGGACAGGAGGACCACTTGAGTGGTGTTGCTTTGCCAGGAGCTGTTTGGTGGCAATGCTGCAAGGCCTCAGTGAAGGGTTGAGGCCCTATGATGATAACCTGTATACAAACATACAGCACAAAGATGGCCCTCCTGCAGAAAGCTTATGATCCAAATATCTCATAAGGTAGTTCCTGCCCTAGCAGTGCTCAGGGGACAGGGTCTACAATTCTTTCTTTATGGAATTTTATCCCTTTAGTTAAAAGGAACCAAACTAAAGAAAAGATACAGTGAAAGGATGACAATCCATTGCAGCTAGGCAGCACTTCACGTCTTCAAGGCTCTTTTACAAACATTAGCTTTCTTAATGCCTCCCTAGGATGAGTGAGATGCTGCATCGCTAGATAAAGAATGTGAAGTTTCTGGACTATGTGGAGTTTCAGCCCAGAGTGGTAATTTACTAAGATGAACGTGGGGTTTAATGGAGATTGTTGATGGCTGCCTTGCAACCCCACGTTCGTCTTAGTAATGGAGATTGTTGATGGCTGCCTTGCATGGAAGGTGCTGCATAGGAACAGATTGCGTTGTACTGATGTGTTTTAAAAATGAAAAGTGTTTTTGGTCTTTGTAAGCGCTCGGGTTTAACACCAGCCAGCTAGGTTTCTTGGATTTTTCCTTTGGAGTTTGGCAGCCGTCTGCTTAAGGGAGTACAGTGGTCACATAAGAGTTTATTTGATCTGACACATGACAAATTGTTTCTGCTGGTGGCTACTTCAGGCACAGTCTGTTAGTTGGCAGCCTTGGCTTTGCGGGCGCCAGGGAAGCTGGAGAAGGCAAGGCTGCTGTCCTCCTCTTAGAAAGCATCAGCTGAAGGAGTGTTGTTTCAGCCCATCTCCCGTTCCAGCCCTCCTTTTGCTGTTTGTTAAATTGTGCTATTTGCATAGATTATTAATGTTGTTTATGTGCTGGGTGTTCCTGCAGATGCTCTCTCTGTTCCTTGTTGCACTTTGTGCAGGGCAGGAGAGAAGAGCCCTCATTTCTGGAACCAGACCGAATTGCCATTAAAGACACTTTGTTCTGTTGTTTGGGTTTGTTTTTGTTTTTTAGGGCACCCTTTTAACTCTGTAGTGAAGAATGGAAGAATATTATTTTTCACAGCAGAATTATAGCTGTTGCCGAAAAAGTACGTGTCCCCTGTGAGATACTGTAAATATGTTTTATCTGTTCTATTACCTGCTGTTTCAAGAATATGTCCCCTAAGCATTTTAATCTTGTTTTCCAGACTTGTCTCAGGGTGAAGAATCACTCCTATTTGCAACTTTGGGAGTAATTACTATGTTCATTAATTTCTTCTTTCTTTCTGTCCACCTATTGTTGCTTCCAAGAGGGGGAACAAAAAAAACTCTCAGTAAATCTCCCCTAAACAGAACTGACTGCTTGATTACAAGGAGAGTTCATCTATTCTCGAAATGTGTTTATGAGAGAGCATCTCCCAGCATCATGCATGGACTCTCGCAGTTGAGTGCGCTGGCTCCTTCAGAGCTGTTCGAAAGTGTTCGGCCACGTGGAGCTGACCGTATGCTGAGGCTGGCTTAACTTCCTCTCCTAACCCTACAATTAAAGAAGGCGGCACCAGCAGGGAGCACGTTTCTGGGCAGTTGTGGCACACCTCAGGCACTGTGATGAGGCAGGAGACTGAAGGTCAGGGCTGCTTAACCACCCGAGCAGTGCAGGAATTCTGCTGGAGTGCTTTGCCTGCAATGCCTCAGTGCTATTATGAAATAGAAGCTAGACATGACAACAAGGGAAGCAGTTCATCACGTGGCCCTGTTTTGTACAGATACTAAAAGCCAATTCAGGACTTTTTGTGGAAGTGCTATTTATTTGGATTTTTTTTTAAAAACTTCTTTTTTAGTGTAGACTGAAAGACTTGGAGACTGGAGGCCACTACAATTATTATTTTTATTGTGCAGTGGCATAAATGTGACATTTAATGCGTGAATGGTGGGGTCTTTGCCCTGGAAAAAATGTACTATCTGACCCTGATGTTGCAAACTCTTACGTAGGTGAGTAACTGCCTCCCTGGGTGGTTCTTGTGGGCGCACTGAGATATATCACTTCCCTAATTGTTCCCTGGATTAGGGCCTCACCAATACTGTCTTTGACACGTGACAGCTGTAGGTACTGAAAGTCAGCATGGAGGCTGTTGTTGAAACAACCTTGATTCATGTAGCAGCTATATTTGGCAATTCAGCTGTTCTAAAAGCTCTGCAGAATATTTTATTCTTCACATGATGACATCTACTTGCAGGAGGGAACAGTTGAAATCTGTAGTCTTCATGGGAGAAGTCCCATAGCATAAATGTGTCCTTCTAGCAGTCTTGTGATGGACTTCCACCTCCCCCTCTGATATGGCAGAAGGAGTCTGTGGCACCAACAGGATGCAGAGAAAGTTCTTCAGGATGGTCTCATGTTTCAGAGTGGAGCTCAAGGTGCTGCAGATGCCTCTTTCTTTAGAGCTTAAAGAGAGTAAGTGGCTAAAAATCTGCTGTTAGCCCTTATGGCAGGCAAGGAGGGTGCAGTGTAGCCATAAAAAATGCATAGCCATGCAGCAAAGGCCAAGAAACGGAGAGAAAAATTCACTGTATCTTTTGGCTGCTGCTTCCTGCTGCCTAGCATGCATCACTTTTAAGTGACTGGGTCTCTTGCTGTGGGTCCAAGCTCAAGAGGAGAAACAGTGGGTCTTTTCTGTCTGGATCAGAAGATGCTGAGGATAGAAACACAGCTGTTGTCACTAGGAAGAGAAAATCGCAGAGGAACAACAGTTGCTGCTGATTGCCCTCTGCTTTCCTCCTCCCTCAGTCTTGTTTTTGGGTTCCTGCCTTTGCTAGCCTGATGAAGCTAAGTGGACTGACTGCTCCTCACTGAACCCCATAAACAGTACTTTGAAGAGCTGTGAGCACAGTCATAGGCTCAGATGAGACCTGAAGTCTTGGAGCAGTCCTACTGCTTGGCAGGGCTACTTCTCCTTTGAGTTAGAAACTTATTTTTCTTTTCCCTTCCTTCCTTCCTGCCTCCCGGACTT